GGGGGGGGGTTAAGTACCTGGAGGCATCATCCTGGTTCGATTCCAGAGAAGTGGAAAAATCATATCAGGTATCTCGGTCTACTGGGATGTTGTATCCCTCTCAGCTGGAGCTGACCCCTACAGGGTAGTGGTGGAAGCCTACCTGCTAAATGATCTAAGTTTCGTAGATGGGGGCGTAAAATCACACTCGATCAATCTCTCCCTATACCGTCAGGTACATAAGGCGGAGAGCAGTCGACGCCACGCTTGCTTGTCCCTGGTCACGTCCTCTAATTTAGGCACATCCAGGCCTAGGGTGATTGCCTCACCCCTTATTGTGCCTAGCTTCCAAATGATCTTCCTCGCTTTCTTTTTCCAGTTGGTCTCCGATACCATAATGTCTGATAGGGCAATCTTGTCTTCGGCATTCTCAGAACGTGTCCTACGTATCTCCTTCTTTTTCCTTTTTATAGTCGTGTTGATATCTTTAATTCCAGCTCTTTCCAACGCTTCATTATTTGTAATAATTAAGAACTCATTCCATTTCGTTAGTAAAATTCTTCGTAAACATTTGGCTTGGAAGATTTTTAGCTTTCATTGAATTGTTTTGTTTGTTTTCCATATCTCTGAACCATACGTCAATATGGCCAAAATATTGCTATTATATATTTTAAATATCGTCTTCAATCAAATTATCTTTGACTTCGACATAGTTTTTAGATTCACAAAAACGATCTGAGCATTTTTAAGTCAAGGGTAGACGTCATCTAGGCATTCTTCAGTTTTTGATACATGTATAATGCTGCCAAGGTAGCTGAATTTACTAATTTCTGCTAAGGGTTCTCCATAAAGAGGGGTGGGTGTAGTTTCTGGTGATGGCCACTGGTTCCCACTTAATAAGGGCATTGAGTGCGGGGATTCCTTGTCCGTGTTTTCCGCCTTTAGTCGGTCCTGAGTAAAGTTGGGTTTGTTTCATTGTTTTCTTTCTTTTTACATTTTTCTCTTTGGCCTGGCAAGCGTACTGAGGCCTAATACGTTGGGGTAGTTGTTGGTCATTTCTTTTGTGATTTGGGCCAATTTAGTTGTTTGAAGCATGGTTCTCACGTTTTAAAAGACTATCTAAGGTGTTTATTTGTTTTTAGAAGGCTATTAACCGTCACACTACTTCTATCCTGTTTCACTTTTCCAACACATTTACAAAGGTTACGTCTTCTGCATTCTGTTTCAGTAACGTTTGTGGTTTTATGAGATGGGTCGTCAGATAATTAGGTTCCCGTATCTGCTGGAGGAGACAACGCAATGGTTTCCGGTGGCCATTTTGGATAAAGCATCCCCGCCTGTCCTTTGC